ATGAACTTGTATACAAACAGTAGCTAGCGTGCTACCTGCAATATCTAGTCTTCTATTTACAATTTTGAGACTTCCACTAATAGCGTCTTCACTTCTGGTTGCGATGTATAGTCTTTTATAGGCAGTATTTTATCTTCTATTAGCAGTACCTTATTTTTTTGGCAGTATTTGGTCTTCTTGCAGCAGTATTATGTAGTCATATGTAAACAGTATCAAATCTTCTGCTAGCAGTATCTTATCTTCCATAAGCTATAAATAGCAAGCAGTATCTAGTCACATTCTACATTGGAAGAATATTGTATAGTATTGACCTAGTCTTTTATTAGCAGTATTTAGACCTCCTTTCGCAGTATTTAGTCTTCTACTAGAAGTATGTGATCTTCTGCAAACAATATCTAATCGCCTTCTAGCAGTACCTAGTCTTTTAGTAGCAGTATCTAGTCCTCCTTTCAGGGTATTAAATCTTCTCTCAGCAAATGTAGTCTTCTGTACATAACATCTTGTTTTCTCCCAGCAATATTTAATCTTCTGGTAGCTGTATCTAGTCCTCCACCAACAATATCTAGTCTTCCAGTAGCTGTGTCTAAGCTTGTACCGACGGTATCTAATATTTCATTAGCAATATGTGGTCCTCTGCCGGCGGTACAAGATCTCGAAAATTAAATTAAATACCTACGCAACTGTAACAGTTTTCAGTTATAGGATTTCCATAAACACACATTCACAACGTTATTAATTATAATTTAGAACGAAATTCTATTTATAGACTGCAAGAATCCATTACTTCCCCGGAAAATTGATTGGGACGATTCTAAACATCCGTGAATATATTAATTGTTGTTCGCGGGATGACTTCAAATATGTTTTATTGTTAGATGAAGAAGTTGTACTGCTTTTCGAACTACACGATTTTGTATAACTTGGAGTTTCTGTACATAACATTTTATAGACATCATTAGATATCGTTTACTCTCTGTAATCGATATCGTTCATGTACATTACAAAGCTTTTTCCGTACATCCAAGATGACAGGATCTTGAGTCAGACACGAGTGTCACTCTTGCGATGACGGCTCTGGAAGTAAAACGGTGGTGTTTGAGTTTGATTTGGACCTTTCTCTTCCATAAAAAAGAGCAAATCAGAGACCTGCGCAGCGAATGGGTCACATAGTGAATCATATTTGCTGATTCGTTGCTTCGGTGTTGCGTTCATTCGTCGATAGTTACTGTAAATCATGTTGTGTGGTGTTCTTTCGTAAGTTACTATATTGTCGACTCCGAAATCTGGAATAAATGGCTCACATGTCGAATCATATTAATCGATTCGCTGCTACTATGTTTTTTTCATTCGCCAATAGAACTGTGAATCATGTTGTGCCGTGCTCTTTCAAAAGCAGTATTTAAACGTATTGAAATTTAAAATTTTGCTGAAATGTGTAAAATTTGTACAAAGTTGTCTAAAAATTATCAAAAATATTCAAAATGAGTTTAAAAGTATTTAAAACCACAAAATTTGTCCAAAATCATTTAATGTTGACTAAACTTTTAAAAAATTGTCTAACATAATAAAAGTGTGTCTATGTAAAGTTATCTAATTATTTAAAATCGCAAAAATTTGTCTAAACATGGCTTAACTTTCACAAAATTTTGTAAAAATGATCCAAAAATTATAAACATATACGTGACATTATGTAAACTTATCTATAATTGTTTAAAATTGCAAAATTTGTTCATCTAATCTTTCACAAAATTGTCTAAAATGATTCAAATTATCTAAAATTAAAAACTAGAAGTAACATTAGTAGTAACATTAAACCTATAACGAGAAACTTTCGAGTTTGGCAGTGCGTGTTTTAAAAAAGTGTTAGCTTCCGGAACGTCAAACGCTTTTTCAAAAATTGAAAGTTTCTAGTTCTAGGTGTAGTATTAGTTTTAGCGATAATTCAGGTTTTAGTTTAGTTAAAATCATTTAAAAGTGTGTCCATAATTACCTAAAATGATCCAAATGTGGCTAATATTGTCTAAAATTTAACTAAGTTTAGATGAATTTGGACATATTTCGCTCTTAAGCAATTTTAGACAAGATTAGATAATTTGAGAGACTTTGTAAAATTTGAATAATTTTAGTCATAAACAATTTAGACAATTTTGTATAAGTTTAGATAACTTTGGCTACATTATAATCATTTGAGACAGTTTAGTTTTAGATAAATTTTGCGCTTTTAAATAATTTTGAAAAAGTTAAAGCTTAAATTTTCTTAATGTTAGACACGTTTTGAATATTTTAGACAATTTTTTATAAATTTACCAAACTTTAGATAAATTAACAGTTTATGCACAATTTTGGAGATGTTTAGATAATATTAGCCATATTTTGATCAATGTAGTCAATTTCTTTTTTACAAGCTTAGACAAATGTAAGTAATTTTTGACAAATTTTGGTCATCTTAGACAATTTTGTACAGGGTCTGTCACGATAGGCTGAGTCTATATCTATGTGGCAAACTACTGGCACTATTTTTGTGAAAATTTGCATATAGGGTTTATCCAAGATGTTCGTTTCAACTAAAATATTTTCAGTTTTCTCCAACTTCCGGTTAAAACGGAAATGGACCCCAACTTCGTTATTTTAAATGGAATGTACCAATCTTTATTGTATTTTCGAGAATAAATTTTAATATCATTTTATACAAATCATCATATGTCTAGAGTACACCATTTTTGAATTATTTCAGATTTTTCGAAAATTTTGGCAGATACAACCCTTCACAATAAAAATAATTTTTCGAAATTACACTCAGAGAGGACCCATAGCTTACATAACCCTTGAAATGTTTTTTAAAAAATTATACAGGGATGGTCAGAAATTTACGCCGACTTTCCCTATCTCAAAAAGTCGAAAACTTAATTTTTTTAAACAGCAACCCCATTTTTTTCCTTCACCAGCGTATTGTACACTGAAAAATAAAGGAAGTTTGTCATTGCATGCCTATATCTAAAATGAATGGCCTTTATAGAAACTTGAAAAAAAAGAAATTTTCTTAATTATTAGTAAATTTGATATGAAACAAAAGCTATTGTGCACTAGAATGTAAGGAGACTTTGTCATTAACATCAAAACGAAGGAGTTTGCTACTTTCGAAGATACAGCGTGTAAGTCTCTGGAACAAATTAGTTATAGCACATTTGATGAGGTACCGAATTCTAACGTTCTGGCTCAGTGTAGAAACAGCTTCAAAGTATTCAATCCCTCAATGATGTATCTAGTAAAACGAATAATCTGGAGTAAGGTCTACTTTCTCTACAAGTCAACGTAGGATAATCTCAGCAGTTTGTTGTATGATAGTTGTTGATATGAGTGGACTTATTCGGATTTATTTTTACTCGCTAACTGTTCAAGCCAACCTCAATAAATGATATTGTAGGTTTTGGGATGCCATTTCAGAAGATGTATGAGTAGCCATAACTTCAGTGTCATCCGTCTATGTAGCAATGATAGTGTTGTTTGTGGTAGGCATGTCGGCTGTGTATAGAAGATATAGGATAAGCCCCAAAATATTACATTTTGTTTAACGAAACAGTATCTCTCCGTCAGATATGATTCCAATAGTGTACATACTGGATAAGGTAGATAGGTTTTAAGTTTGGACATAAGACCGACATGCCATACTCTGTCGACACGTCTAAAAAAGCTGCTCTATGGCATCTCTAGCTGATCTCATTACTCTGCGCACTTGTTCTATAGTACCATGCTGTTTTCTAAACCTAAATTGATAGTTAGGAATTAATTTTTTATTTTCTATGATGCTCTGAAGTCTCTTCAATACGAGCTTTTCGAACACTTTTGAAAGCAATGAAAGTAAACATATTAGGCGGTAGGAAGTCACGTCGCTCGTGATTTTATTTGATTTTAGCACCATAGTTATCTGGGACACCTTCCATTGTATTGGGAATGATCCTAGTCTTGAGATTGCGTTGAAGATAAGATTCGTAGCCCATGCTTAGGAATATGTTTAAGAACCAATCCAGTTATAAGATCGTAACGGGGCGATTTTAGAGCTTCTTTCAACAGACGAGTAACCCTATTCAGTTTTGTTTTAGTATCAGGCGATCAAATTGTTTTTCTTAACATTTTTTTCTCTCTAATTATTTTATTATGATGTTTTTTGAAGAGTCGATATCCGTGCAGCTTTTTGAATACATTTTGTGAAGTCACTTCACAAATACTTATTTAAGCTAGATAAATGAATAATCTTGTTGATTTTTGCATTACAAATAACTGATTTAAATTTGCAGTTTAAAAAAAAATCTTTTAATTTTCCGGCGCATCCACCATTTCTGTATGAAAGCAAACAATAAAAATTGCCTTTTTTTTGTAAACTTAATGAGTATTTAGTTTACTTGTACATGTTTAACGTCCGACAGAGATAGATACAAATTGGTCCAATTCATTACAAGCCTCATGTTTGACGTTTAAATTTGCGTTGCTTTTATTGCAGTTGAACACGTTACTGAAATGAAAGCTTCGATTTGTTTGTTTTTCTAGTTCCAATTTGGTCGCCCAATTAAAGGAAATCCACTATACAATATATCGATTAGATATAATATTCATCGAGAACTAAAATTATAACTTTATTTATTTAATAATCGTTTTAGGTTGTATATTTCTTATTTTATTTCAGGGTTATAAGAGGGGGATTTTGTTTGGCAGTTTCTTAACACGGACATCCACTCGGCGTTCGAACGAAAAAGTTTCGCGACATATGAAAGAAATCTCATTCCTCAATTCAAACGTGAAGTAGATGCAAGCACTTTGAGTTACTGAGTTCTTCAACATATCTAAGAAAGCGGTAGAAAGCAAACGAAGACGACGGCAGGTTGGTCTACACATAAAAGAAAACGCATTGAACACACTGAAAAAAGGACGTATGAAATAATAAACGGACTTTGAGGGCGCAAGCGCGGCATCTCCCGGGCTTCAGGCAGTCCAGCCGCCAGCGTCGATACGCAAAGACGCGTCGCGACGCCAGTCTACCGTTGCTCTTCAACAGAGTCTTATTGCAACCTGTTCCCGGTGAACCTCGACAGGTTCATGAAATAAACTCACGTTTTTAATCGGTGAGTAACTTTTAAAAGTAATTGGATTCTTTTTTCGATTCATATTTAATAAAGTAGATTGATTATCGAATATCAATATGATATTATAAATGCTAAGCATTGAGAAGGACCAAGATAAGTATATTTATAATTATTTCAATCGATTATTTGTTGATTAATTAAAAAAAAATTTTTTTTATCAACAAGCTTTTATTTTCTTGATTCCATTTATAACTGTATACCATTTTTAGATTACATATATAAATAAAACCGCTAAGTAAAGCCAAATATAAGAATCGATAAAATAAATTACCTGCATTGAGCTTTTCTATTTATTTTCTGTCCTTCATGATCTATTATATCATAATTTCTTAATCAATATTTACTTTATTGCATCAATTTCTTTCGTGTCAAATTAATATATCATATAGTTCCAATATTAGTTTGTAACAATGAAATTTTATCAATTTGCAAGTTGAATAATTTGGGGATGAATCAAATCCGAATTCCACGAAACTTAATTGGTTTGAATTTTAAAGTCGGAGTGGAAATTTATGGGATTTATGCAACTCATAATCACGTAAAAATCAACCGAAAACTTTTGGGCTAATTCTCCGTGTAGCACTTAAATTTTAATTAAAAATTTTATCACCTTAAATATCTAACCCAACACTAACCAGAAACTCTTCGTTCGAAGATTACTTTCTCACTTGCTTTTGCTTTACCCCCGCTGTATCGATTTAATAATTAATCCTAATTAGTACAAAGTAAGCTTAAAATCTGTATATAATTAAACTTAGAGTTAGTGCTAAACGAGGAAATGTGTTTAATGGAGTTGTTCAAATCGGGGTCTAATCACAGAGTTAAAAAAGTGTTTTTGTTGTCCCAAAATACATTATCCAAACATCTCTCCGCGAGGTGATAAATTTCAGAATAGATAACCAAAAGATATTTTAAAAGGAAAAAAAATATAAATTGACGTGCACGGTACCGAAAGGGTTTCTTAAAAGCCAAGAAACCAATCTTAAATGAATTAAAAACGTTCATTCTATGTCAAAAATTCCTTAACCTCCATCAATCAATGACAAAACGGTTTACATGTTAAAACTTGAATCTTTTTGGGGATTTGATTTGCGGCCCATTACAGGCGAAAAGTAAACAGTTTTAAATAAAAGTAGACGCAGACATTAGTTTGCGTTCAGTTATCTCGCTCTCATTGTTTATGTTAGAATTAAATTTAAAAATTTAATGGGTTAAAAACTTTCTAAATTCAATTTGTAGGATTAAAATTATCATTGGGTTTAGTTCAGTGTTTTAGAAACGGTGCGCAAACAAAAATTGAGTTAAGTAAGTTAAATATCGCCGCAGTGTTGTTCATTGCAACTGACACCGACTGTATTGGTACTAAACAGTTGCTGTGTTGCAGCTTTGCAGTTTACTCAGTTTAGAAAATTTCTAGGATTGCACTCGGTAAATGGTCACAATGTGAGCATCGTCGATAAAACCACGGAGTTCGAATTAATAAAAAGAACAAGTGGCTAATAGAACACACATTTTTTGATTTACGTGTTTCAGTTAAGTTAACTGAAATAAATTTGATTCTTGCTCACCATGAGATTGATTATATTATAGTAATCAACTCCACCTCAGTGGCTGGATATTAAAAAGATGTTATTTTCGTTATAAAAGCGATTAAAAAAATCGTATCTCAAGAACGAATTGAGATAATATAATGAGATAACAACCTTCTAAGCAAATTTAATGTGTCATAAATAATTTATTATTTCCGATAAACATCGTTGTTATGACTATTCATATCCAACTCTGCGTGTTTGATTGATACAGATTGTAAGAAGAGAAATTGAAAAAGTTATATCTCAAGAACGAAGTGAGATATAACGATGAATTCAAAAACATTTTAAAGCAAATTTTATTTAGATTTAATATTCATGAAATAATTTTTTTTTTTTTCCAGAAACATCGCCTGTATGATTTTTTTATTCTTTTATTTACATATTAAAAGTAGCGATTAAAAAGTAATATCTCAAGAACGAATTAAAATAATACGATGAGATAACCAACATTTTAAACCAAATTTAATGGAAATGAACTGTGCCTTAAATAATTTCTTATTGCCGATAAACATCGGCATTATGATTATTTATACTTAACTCTGCGTGTTTGATTGATACAAATTTTAAGTAGAGAAATTTAAACAGTTATATCTCGAAAACGAATTGAGATATAATGTTGAATTAAAGATCATTTGAAAGCAAATTTAATTCAGATTCAAAATGCCAGAAATAATTTATTGCTTTAAATAAACATCGCCGGCATGATTTTTTCCTGTACCTCTATTTATTTTTTAAAATTAGCGATTAAAAGTTTCGTATCTCAAGAAATGCAGTGTGCCATAAATAATTCCTTATTTCCGATAAACATCGTTGTTATGATTATTTATATCCAACTCTGCGTGTTTCATTGACACAGATCTTAAAAAGAAAAATTTAAAAAGTTGTATCTCAAGAACGAATTGAGATACAATGATGAATTAATGATCATTTTAAAGCAAATTTAATTCAGATTCAATATGCCAGAAATAAATTATTGTTTTACATAAACATCGCCGATATGATTTTTTATATTCCTTTATTTATATTTTAAAAGTAGCAACTAAAAAAGTCATATCTCAAGAACGAATTGAAATACTATGATGAGATAACCAACATTTTAAACCAAATTTAATGAAAAATAAGTGTGCCATATATAATTTCGTATTTCCAATAAACATCGTTGTTATGATTATTTATACTCAACTCTGCGTGTTTGATTGATACAGATTTTAAGAAGAGACATTTAAAAAGTAGTATCTCAAGAACGAATTGAGATATAATATTGAATTAAAAAACATTTTAAAGCAAATTTTATTTAGATTTAATGTACAAGAAATAATTTATTATTTTCCATAAACATCACCGGAATGATTTTTTTCAGTACCCTCTATTTATTTTTTAAAAGTAACGATTAAGATTATCGTATCTCAAGAACGAATTGAGATAATTTGATGAGATATCCAACATTTTAAACCAAATTTAATGGACATGAAGTGTGCCATAAATAATTCCTTATTTCCGATACACATCGTTGTTATGATTATTTATACCCAACTCTGCATGTTTGATTAATACAGATTTTAAGAAGAGAAATTTAAAAAGTTATATCTCAAGAACGAATTGAGATACAATGATGAATTAATGATCATTTTAAAGCAAATTTAATTCATACTCAATATGCCAGAAATAATTTATTGCTTTACATAAATATCGCCGGAATGATATTCTTCTGTATCTCTATTTACTTTTTAAAAGTAGCGATTAAGAATATCGTATCTCAAGAACGAATTGAGATAATTTGATGAGATAATCAACATTTTAAGCCAAAATTAATGAAGATGAAGTGTGCCATAAATAATTATTACTTTCGATAAACATCGTCTATTTACACCCAACTCTGGGTGCTTGATTGATATAGATTTTAAGTAAAGAAATTTACAAAGTTTATCTCAAGAACGAATTGAGATATAATATTGAATTAAAAAACATTTTAAAGCAAATTTTATTTAGATTTAATGTACATAAAATAATTTATTATTTTCCATAAACATCGCTGGTATGATTTTTTTTATTCGTTTATTTATATTTTAAAAGTAGCAACTAAAAAAGTCATATCTCAAGAACGAATTGAAATAATATGATGAGATAACTAACATTTTAAACCAAAGTTAATGAAAAATAAGTGTGCCATATATAATTTCGTATTTCCAATAAACATCGTTGTTATGATTATTTATACTCAACTCTGCGTGTTTGATTGATACAGATTTTAAGAAGAAAAATTAGAAAGTTGTATCTCAAAAACGAATTGAGATACAATGATGATTTAAAGATTACTTTAATGCAAATTTAATTCATATTCAATATGCCAGAAATAATTTATTGCTTTACATAAACATCGCCGAAATAATTTTTTCCTCTACCTCCATTTATTTTTTAAAAGTAGTGATTAAAATTATCGTATCTCAAGGAGGAATTGAGATAATTTAATAAAATATTCAACATTTTAAACCAAATTTAATAAAAATGAAGTGTGCCATATATAATTTCTTATTTCCAATAAACATCGTTGTTATCATTATTTATACCCAACTCTGCGTGTTTGATTGATACAGATTTTAAGTAAAGAAATTTACAAAGTTATATCTCAAGAATGAATTGAGATATAATATTGAATTAAAAAACATTTTAAAGCAAATGTTATTTAGATTTAATGTGCATGAAATAATTTATTATATTCCATAAACATCGGCGGTATGATTTTTTTTATTCCTTTATTTATATTTTAAAAGTAGCAACTAAAAAAATCATATCTCAAGAACGAATTGAAATAATATGATGAGATAACCAACATTTTAAACCAAATTTAATGAAAAATAAGTGTGCCATATATAATTTCTTATTTCCGATAAACATCGTTGTTATGATTATTTATACTCAACTCTGCGTGTTTGATTGATACAGATTTTAAGAAGAGACATTTAAAAAGTTGTATCTCAAGAACGAATTGAGATATGATATTGAATTAAAAAACATTTTAAAGCAATTTTTATTTAGATTTAATGCACAAGAAATAATTTGTTATTTTCCATAAACATAACCGGAATAATTTTTTTCAGTACCTCTATTTATTTTTTAAAAGTAACGATTAAGATTATCGTATCTCAAGAACGAATTGAGATAATTTGATGAGATATCCAACATTTTAAACCAAATTGAATGAAAATGAAGTGTGCCATAAATAATTCCTTATTTCCGATAAACATCGTTGTTATGATTATTTATACCCAACTCTGCATGTTTGATTGATACAGATTTTAAGAAGAGAAATTTAAAAAGTTGTATCTCAAGAACGAATTGAGATACAATGATGAATGAAAGGTCATTTTAAAGCAAATTTAATGAAAA